AAATTTTGGCACAGTCCAGTCTCTCCAGGAAGTTGTGATGCTGTAATCTCAAGTTTTAATGCGCTTTCACTTATTCGCAAATTTTGCTTCAACTTGCAATTTTCAGTCATCTGCAAATCTGCTCAATAACATCCTCCTCCTTCCACTTTCTGTTGTCCTTTTTTGTCATTTTCGCCACCAGTAACACCCAGGTGTTTACCACATAACTCGTGCGATGCCAGAAAAGTGTTTCCATTCCGGAGAGTTCGAAAATGTATTTTTCAAAATGTCAAATTGCGCAATTTTACGACTGACGGAAACGCATCTACTGACTTGTGTGATCCCCTCAGGCCCAGTTTCAGACGTACCAACTGGTTCGGACCCGTCGGGAGAGAGTGCAGACTGGTGATGGAGAAGGTGGGCGTGATCGACCTCACGCCTTTCGGAAAGTTTGTCGTGAAAGGGAAGGACTCGCTCAGGCTGCTCGACCGCCTGTTTGCCAACACCATGCCGAAGGTAAAGCAAGAGCGTAGCCTGTTGCAGAAAGTCACCCAGCTGGTGATCCCACTGTCAGACAAATGGTCTGTTTCCCAATGTACCGTCTGTCCCAGGTCGGCCAGACTAACATCAGCCACATGTTGACCCCTGATGGGAGAGTTTTTGCCGAGGTCACCATCACCCAGCTGACGCCGGGAGAGTTCCTGCTCGTCACAGGCTCGGGCTCTGAGCTCCACGACCTCAGGTGAGAAACAGCCAGGCGATCTGGGCGATGTGCTAGAAAAAAACCCGATGTAGACGTTTCATGTGGGTCCATGTCAATAACTGCTACTTTTTGGGTTTTAAATACCTAAACTACTGCCGTGATCCTTCCAGTTCTATCTGCAGTTTTCTCCCCATCTGTTGTATTCGTTTTCTCCTTTTACGCCGAGCCATTATTTTTTGTAATTCTTCATTTTAAGCAGTTGGGAAACTGCTTAAACTGCTGCTAGGCAAGTTAGTCAACAGGTTGTTGCTAGGTAAGTGCAGAGCGTCGAGCTCGTTGACGTCACCCTCCTCGCTCAGCTGACTGTGAGAGGCTGAGTGGGCCAAGCCTTTTCTCCGCCTACGTCCCCCAGAATGCTGTGCTGTTCTGGATCTGAGTTCAGTGAAATTGTACTTCAGGGAACTTTGTAGCTGCCGGCCATCTTGGTAGGCCGTCGCTAAGGAGTTGCCATGACAACACTAAACAATCCACAAGCTTGGACCTAGCTCTCGCCTCATCCCTGCCTAACTTATAAACGACATGAGAACATTGCAACTGCTGCTCGATTATGATTTGAGGACTCTGCCCATCTCTGCGTAATGTTAGGCTAACTAGCAAAATCAGCTTCGCTATTGCAGTTTTTATCTGCAAGCTAGGACGGACATGCAGCCTTTCATTTCTGCCAGTCAGTTTCTCTTGTGTTCTTTTCAATGAAGTTTCTTCCTTTGTGAAAGAAAGAAACTCTCTGAACTGTCAAACTTGTTTTTGCTGTGAGCAAGGAAAAAAATAGAATAAAATACGGTATCCTTTTTCCTGGTGGGGCACAGCAACAGGTAGGGGAGGGAAGTTACCCCTGGATTTTTCAACCATGTCCTTTGTTTCTTACTAAACAGTCAAATTCATGTGAGAAACGCTGTAGCCCTTCCAGCAACTGGTGCAGAAACAGGCGGAAACTTTGTCTCCGAGTGAAGCAGAATGTTTCGCCGTCGTAAACAAGTGAAAAGGTAGCGTTTCAGAAGCAGAAGCTTGTCTCATGCACGTCCGCTACTCTGTGTTTGCAGCAACATTTCAGCTCTTTGCAGCTAAAGGTCGGCCCCTGCTCTATAACTTCTCCCTCTCCTTTTTTTTTCTAACCGCTGAAATTTAAAACCCCCCAGCAGCTGTCGATGCTGCACTCCTCCTTCTGCTCCAGTTGGAAGCTGCAGCGCGTCGAGACATTCCTACAAACTCCACTGTCAAGACGCTGGGGAACATTAGCGGCTATGCAGCGACCTCCACTGCTCGCAGTGGAGCTGCGTGGCTCATGGTGTCGGCCTTGTATTCAAAGATTGATATTTATGGCACAAAAAAAGAAGAAAAAAAAGTTTAAATGTGCAAAAAATAAACAGTTTTTCTGTGTTTTGATTCGAAAAATTTGTTTTCCTGCATTTGTTGTGAACTGGGCTCAGGTGGATAGAGGCAGAAGCTGCAGAGGGCGGATACGACGTGGACGTCAGGAACGTGACGGACGACGTTGGTGTGCTGGGAATCGCGGGACCGAATTCGCGGAAGGTTCTCCAGAAGCTGACCGACGAGGACATGAGTGACGCCGGGTTCAAGTTTCTCCACTGCAAGAGCATCCAGCTGGCCGGCGTCCCGGTCCGGGCCATCAGGATCTCCTACACCGGTAGAGGACACACTTCATTTCATTCATTCATAAAAAAAAAGGAGAGAAAGAGAGAAAAAAGAAGTATGGTCAGAGGAATCCACACTCCACTGTTTCAGAGTTCAGAGCTGCTTGTGGATGTTCTGTGTCTCCATATGCAGGGGAACTGGGCTGGGAGCTGTACATGGACCAGAAGAACCTGGCGGTGTACCAGGCCATGATGGCAGCGGGGAAAGACGAGGGCATCGACAATTTCGGCACCTACGCCATGGCCTCGCTCAGACTGGAGAAGGGCTTCAGGGGCTGGGGGGCGGAGGTGCACAAACTCACACAACAGAGGAACGTCACCAAACTCACACTGCATGGAACCATTTCTCTACCTGCGTTATACATAATTTCCAGATGATTTTGTTATCTTTTTTAGTTAAGTCCACAAAATCAAAGTCTTCTCTCGTTGGACGAATTGTCTTTTCTACATCTTTGCTGCGTTTCCTATGTCGCTTCCAATGCCAGAAAACGTGAGACGGTTTTTCAAAGTTTTGCTCTTTTATGAATGAAAACATTTTGTTTTTTCAGATGAACTGCGACACGAATCCTCTGGAAGCTGGGCTGGACTACTTCATTAAACTGAACAAGGTAAGGCCGGTGCTTTTAAGCAGGAGCGGCGTTTTGTATTGAAGCATCTGTCACATGACTTGCGGGAAATCTCTGGTCTGCGAACAGCCGGCCGACTTTATCGGCAAAGCGGCGCTTCAGGAGATCAAAGCCAAAGGCCTGAAGAGGAAGCTGTCCTACCTCTCTGTGAGGACGGACGACGTCGACCCGGAGGGCAACGAGACCATCTGGCTCAACGGCAAGGTCGGAAACGATAAAATCGTTGTGATATTATGTAATAACACCACGATATGTAGCCGTGTAATGAAATCAGGCTTCAAAATGCAATAAGGCACGAAAGCCGCATGAAGTAGTAATTCAGAAAAATGCAGCAAAATCCTTGAATGCATTTTGCAATACTTTGCTTACATTGCTTAGTAAAGTTATTACATATTTTGCCGATTATTAATGCAGAAGTGGTTCATTTTAAGTAACTTGTCCTGTATTCTAGAAAGCAAAACCCATACTATGTTAGAGAAATGAACGACACTGTGAATAACATTTAAGCTATGCATCGACTGTGATGATGAAGATACAATGATGGTTATCTATGCAGACAGAAAAATATAGAGGAGTCAATTTCTGCAAACAAAAACAACATTTTAAATTTTCTAGAAAAACAACAAACAAGGAAATTTCTGAGTTTAAAAAGTTGTTAATTTTTTAAGCCAACAAAAAAAATAAGTAAAAAATTGCGATAAATTTCAGAAATTTTCTAGATTCCACAAAGTGTGTGTGCGCGTGTTTGTGTGTGTGTGAGAGAGGGGTGAGGTGAGTGTTATTTTTATTACTCATTATTTTTTCTTAATAGAGGTCCAATAAACTGAACTCCTCCTCCTCAGGTGGTGGGCAACACCACGTCCGGAGCCTACAGCTACAGCAGCCAGCAGAGCCTGGCGTTCGGCTACCTGCCCCTGGAGCTGTGCTCTGTGGGCCAGCAGGTGGAGGTGGAGCTGCTGGGGAAGAAGTTCCCCGCCACAGTGATCCAGGAGCCCCTCGTCCTCACCGAGCCCACGCGGACCCGGCTCGCCAAGAAAGCAAAGGCCAAAGCATAAGCAGCCGTCGACATCAGAGACCGGCTAAAAAAATAAAAAATCTTGCTGTGAATGAAAATCAGAATGAAAGGAGGAAAAATAAATAAAGAAATGTGGTCCACATGTTGACGAACTATTTGCAGATCAGGGGACAGTTGAGATGAAAACAAACAACAGAAAAACCTCCTGTGTCCTGACAAGATGAAAGAAGCAAATCGTTTGGATGCCATGTGAAGTCCTCTGCAATGTGTGTGTATGTGTGTGTGTGAGAGGGGAGTATTTACCTTTTTTCTGATTCCATAAAAGGAAGATCAGTGTTTACAGGTCAGATGTTCCCGTGTGATAGCTGGAGCTGCCAAGAAATAACCAGGACAAAAGTTGTTTCCGTAAATGTAAAAAGGCGTATTGTTTTGTAAATCATTCTTGTGTGACTAAGGCAATTAAAATTGTGTAAATAGTACGTCGTCAGCATCCTGCTCAGTTCAGCTCTGTAGACCTTAAGCTATAAATTATACAGTTTACTGATTACACAGCACATGACCCATATAAACCTGAAAATATTTAAAATATTATTTTAAAAAATAATAATAATAAGAAAAAAGGATTTATCCGGACAAAATGTGCCATTATGGTTTAATTAAATAAATGTTTGTCACTATTTAAATCAAACTGGAAACACATACATTCAGAAAGTAATTGTATCTACTATAATGTCAGATGTCCAATACTGTAATTTATTAAATCCATAACAAATTTTGTATTTATTACATCATTATGAATCCAAGCCATTATTTAAAGCCTTCCATTCATATATATATATATATACATACATAATTACAACATCATATTTCTATTACTCTTTACTACAAATTACACTTCCGCGTACTGTGTGACGCTGTTTCTTCTCCGCCTTCTGATTGGCTATCGCAGCCAGGGCAGTGTTTTTAATTTGCGGAACTGGGAGAACGAGCCGCTGCGTGTTGACTGCTAACGCTGTTGGCATGTTACACACCGCGGTGCTGAACCTTCAAACAACAAATCGTGTAAATAGTACACTTCCTGTTTTCTTGTGTTAAAACGCTGCTCCGGAACGGCTCCTGCAGCTCGTTTACTTCGCCGCCAGCGGCCGCAGGAACTTCCTTGTTTCCGCTAATAAAATGACGCGGGTCGGTGAAAGTCAGGCGACGCGCTGCTGGCTCCTGGCCGCGGGGCTCCTGTCTGTCTTGACCGGGCTGGTGTCAGCAGCTCGGCCGCCTCATGTCGTTTTCGTCCTGGCCGATGACTTGGGCTGGTACGACGTCGGCTACCACAGCTCGGAGATCAGGACGCCAAACCTGGACCGCCTGTCGGCTCACGGCGTCCGCTTGGAGAACTACTACGTCCAGCCGGTGTGCACCCCGTCCAGGAACCAGCTCATGACCGGGAGGTACCAGGTGAGACCCGAGTGCAGGGGACAGACAGTTCTGCCGTTTTTAACACCCAGACGTGCACAAATCTGAAATATGCACAACAAAACAATCGGTTTGTCTCTATGGAGCTAGATTAGGGCCATCATGCAATCTGATGCCATTGGACTAAAACCTTCAAAAAATGTTATTTTATTTATTTATTTATTTATTCTTTGCAGAATTGTCGTTGTTTAATCAATACCTTTCTTGTGTTTCATTAAAATTAAGCAATCACCAACTAAAAATAGTTGTCTTAATCTAAATATAGGTTCAGGAACTAGTTCTACATCCAACTTTTTTTTCCCCTGAATGAAAAACGAATATTGTTTTTACTTGACATTTACCAGATAAAGCCCTACATTTAAACATGCTGAAGAGTTAAAGACGTGGTTTTTGAAAAGGAAGCCATGTTGACATTCATTTTGCAACTTCTGTTTTCTTTTGTTTTGTTTTGTTGTTGTTTTTGCTTCATTTCCATCACAGGCTGCCAGTTCCCTCTTTGCTACTTCTGCAAGGAACTTTTTCCGCTTTTTCCATCCGTTTCCTAACAGTCCGGTTGCCTTCAACCCCCTCAGATCCACACGGGGATGCAGCACCAGATCATCTGGCCGTGCCAGCCGTATTGCGTCCCTCTGGATGAGACACTGCTGCCTCAGCTGCTGAAGGAGGCGGGCTACGACACGCACATGGTGGGCAAGTGGCACTTGGGCATGTACAAGAAGGACTGCCTGCCCACGCGCCGCGGCTTTGACACATACTTTGGTTTGTATCAATAGAAATAATACATTTCTAGAAAGAGGATATTTAATTCTCACAATCAGCTTCCATGTATGAATTGAAGAAATAAAAGAAAAAGGCAGGATTCAGCTTGTGGGGGGCGGAGGGGCATTGATGGGACAATCGTCCAGTGAGAGAAGCAACGGCATCAGAAAGCAATGGCTTGGAGATTGAACAAACTAGCATGCTGGGCCTTTTCTCCTTCCCAAAGAAACTTTCTAAAGACATCTGATCCATTTCTAACTCAGTTTGCTGCTTGTGGGCTCAATGTTGGCACGTAAGACGTAACCGAGAGAATCTGGTTAAAGAATTTTCAAAATAAAAGATCCTCCAGAGTTTCTTACGCGACCCGGGGATTGGGGACTACTGTGTTAAGGTCAACTATATTGTCATGGCAGGAGATGAAGAACTTCCCAACCGCAACACTACGTCCTACAAAGCCTATCGCCTTATATGTATAAATATTTTGGTAATACTATTTGAAATTCCAGAATACTCACATATCTTTTATATTTTGGTCTGTCTCTGGACACATTTTGAATATTAAATCAGGTGTTATGATCAATTATTCAGTACTTGAGTGGATTTTTACCAAATACATTTTACACCCACTTTATTAAAGCTCAAGTAAATCTACTTAAGTGTAAATGTATTGAAGGTATGCTACTCTGATTGGAGTACAGTTCTGCTGGGCGTCCCTTATTTTGATTTCTGAAAGTGGCAACCCTGATCGAAGCTCTTCTGAGGCCTGATAGTGAGCCATCAATGGATAGAGGAGTGCAGAACCAGGGAAACATCCAAAACATGCGGCACCTTCTAAGGGTTTGTGTGTCACTGACATCTGGTGGTCGAAGTGGATATAACAGTCGAATAAACACTCCCTCGCAATATCTCCACAAACTGCATTTGTGTGAGCCAAAGTTCCTCAAATCACTTCAACATTGTAAACATATGTGGCATAATATGAGGATACTGTAACACAAATACTAGTAAGGAAATGATTTTGGGGGGAAGTTTCATGGCTGCAGGTTTGAAGTCGTAACCTTTGCGTTGCAGGTTACCTGACGGGAAGTGAGGACTACTTCACTCACGAGCGTTGCTATGACATCGCTCCCCTGAACCTGACGCGCTGCGCGCTGGACCTCAGGGACGGGGAAGAGGTGGCCGCGGCGTATAAAGGAGACTATTCCACTGAGCTGTTCAGTCAGAGAGCCGTCAGTGTCATCGAGAAACACAACTCCAGCAAGGTGATGCACACACATCTTCTTTTTTTTTAGTTTCCCTGCCTTATATATGTTATTTCATTTTCCCTCTGATCTCTCAGCCACTGTTCCTGTACGTGGCGCTGCAGGCGGTTCATTCACCCCTGCAGGTACCGGAGCGGTACTTGGCCCCCTACAGTTTCATTGAGGACCGTCATCGCAGGCTGTACGCAGGCATGGTGTCGGCCATGGACGAGGCCGTGGGGAACATCAGCCTGGCTTTGCAGCAGGAAGGACTTTGGAACAACACGGTCCTGGTGTTCTCCACAGGTACACAACCATGTGCTACAGAACCAAACACTTTCTAGCAATTCTGTTAGAAAAACCCAACAAAAACAGCTTTATTTTACCTTTACAGATGCATAACGTAACTATCTGTGACCTTTACCTAAAGAGCCATTTTGCCCTCATGACAGTGAAATAAAACTTGCAAATGTTGCACGATTATTGGGGGAAAAAAAGGGACAAATTTTAGACAAATATCTTGAAATTTTCTCATCATTTTTAAAGAGCTAGCATTTTTCTTCTAATCGTATTTAAAATAAACATAAAAGAGGATGGATTTTTTTTTAAGTACATAGACTCCAACCTAATAACAAGGAAACAAATGTAAAAGCATGTGGTGCTTTTTTTTTGTCAATAATTGTGAAAATGCAATGCACATTTAAAAAAAATGGAAAAACTTGCATTTGTTATTATATTTCTATTTAAAAACACTTGGTTCCTGTTAATTTTTAGTCAAAGTTATACAAAGACCTCTGATCAGACGCATACATAATTTTGCACATCTAGAGATTAAAATATTTGCATGCTGGCCAAAAAAAAGTAGAAATCTAATCAAGCTGATCTTAACCTGTTCTTTTCTTTGATATCCTGATGTCCCACTAGAGGGCAGCATGTCGCTGCACTTCTTGGGGCCAGTCAAAGTCCCTGGCCTTTTGACAGTTCTCCATCTGAAAGGAATTTATGAGAGAACATCATCTGGTCATCTAAACATGTGGCTGCTCACAGTTTTCCACATGTGGAACATCTAATGGTTAGCATGTGAAGCAGGCAACCACTTTGAGGGTTATTTTTAGTGGCGTTCATGCTTTTTAATGGCTAATTAGAAAACAGGAACAATGCTTTGATAGTGAAAACGTGAGGTTGGATGCAGTAGGTGGTCCCGTTTCATTATTTCTTCCACGCATACGGTTGGCTGCAGAGCCTCACTGCTGGTCGGAAACACCGCAAACGCTTACAGTAATAAAGCGAGAAAAAAAAAAAAAAAAAAAAACACGTTGCAGCGTGTTGATAATTAGTGACGCAACCTTTTCATGAAACACTTCTTGCTCCCCCGGTAAAGTTTTATCCATTTCCAACCTGGTCGAGCTGTTGTGCTTGGCTCCTGTGTGTCGTGACTAACAGGAAGTAAATGAGCCCTGAACTTACTCTGCCGTCTTACTGTAAAACGTTCGCCCCTCTGGGCGAGGGAGAGCCGGGCCCAAACCGGCGCGGAGGAAAAGAGCAAACAGGTCAGCTTGGAAAGGTATTAAGGAGAGAGTTTTTCCAGAACAGTTTGACACAGGCTACTTCCTGGACTCGCATGGCACCCTGCTACTGAAAAGGGATCCCTGGCTGGACGTGACCGAGGGAAGCGTGCATATAAAAACCCGCGTAATGGATGATGACAGCCTGTGTGCTACAAAAATATAAACAAATAAATCAGAATCACATTTGAGTAAGTGAGTAGGTAAAATTTGTCTGCACACATTACAATCCAAAAAATTTTGCAAATATTTGACAAAGTCGTAAGTTTGAACTTTTATTGTCTATTTAAGTCCCAACTGGCAGTTTTGCCTGTCTGAGCCTACTGATACATTTCATAATTTTGTGTTTTTTTTTTTTTTATTCTGAATTTTTAAAATGTCTTCCAGTTCCAGCGTTAAATGTTCTCTGGAAATTTGCATCATCCATCCATCCATTTTCTAACATCCTTGCCCCTGGTGGGGTTGGGAGGGATGCCGGTGCCTATCTCCAGCTAGTGGCATCATTATGCCTCAAAATAGTCTCAAGACGACAATATTATCATCTATCGCAATAATTTTTGGGATAATTTATCGTCTGTCAGAATTTATCGTGTCAGTGCACCTATAATTTTTATGACAAAGTAATGATTTTTTTTCAATTTCACAATAAAAGCAAAAAGTACTAATAAAACACATCCAAATATGTGGATTTTTAGCATAACATAAAAACCTAAAGAGCTATGAAAACTTTTGATTTCAGCTCCAAAGCTGAAATCTGCTTTTCTTTTGACCAGATTTCCCTGTTTTTCTTCATCAGATAACGGCGGTCAGACGGTGTACGGTGGCAGCAACTGGCCGCTGCGTGGGAGGAAGCTGTCGCTGTGGGAGGGAGGCGTGCGTGGAGTGGGGTTCGTTGCCGGCCCGCTGCTGGAAAAACCCGGTACGGTCAGCCGGGAGCTCATCCACATCTCCGACTGGCTGCCCACCCTGGTCGGCCTGGCGGGAGGCAGCACCAGCAGCACAAAGCCTCTGGACGGCTTCAACGTGTGGAAGACCATCAGGTGCTGCCCCACTTTCTGCTTCCCTAAACCTGGATCTGTGTTTGTTACCTGATGTTCTGCTGTCAGTTTCAGAGCAGATACTTTCTGCTCTGAAAGTATCGACTGAATTACTTTTGTAGCCGGATGGATTTTTTCCCCCTTGTATTTTATGAAACTTTGTAAAGGAGCGAATATAGTTCTGAGGGGTCACATGTCCACATCTCCCAGAATGCTGTGCGGTTCTGCATCGGAGTTCAGTGCAAGTATTTAATATTCTTTCAGACGTATTATTTATTGATGGTGATCATGTGTCCTTCACGATATGTCCGGTTATTGATTTATTTCGAACAGACAATAAAAGTAAAACCAGAAAAACAAAACAGGACAAATAGTTTTGCCACCTGACAGGCAATCGTGATCATTTATTGGCGATCTGATGGACCGAATCAGCACACGGCCACTGGTTGGCGCTCCGCGACAACGCCGTACATCTCCACTCACCTCCAGAGGCCGACCTATCGACTGACGGCAGGACAGGAACCGAGGAGCAGGCAGCAGAAGAGCCAGAGTTATTTTAGTTGTGTTATCAGAGCGTGTGGTGAACACGAAGGGAGCGTTTTCTCGGCGGTGGAGTGCGGTCAGAAGCTGGCAAACGGCAGCCAGCTGGTTCACATTTACAGGTCCCAGCGGGGTTTTCACTGTGCATGAGTCAGACGTCACCATCCCTCTGAGTGTGTGTGTGTGTGTGTGTGTGTGTGTGTGTGTGTGTGTGTGTGTGTGTGTGTGTGTGTGTTTGTGTCCGTCCATGTGTTCAACAGTAACGCCCCCACTTTTCTTTTTTTCTTTCTTTTTTTGCAGCAAAGGCTTCGCCTCACCCAGACAGGAGCTGCTGCACAACATCGACCCTTTGTATTCTGACCTCGCTCCATGTAAGTTCCTTCTTCCATCCGGGCCCACTATCAGGACCTATTGTCTGAACGAACTGTTGCTTTTGTTCTGGTCAAAAAAACAAAAAAAAATCCATACATTTAAGTCAACTTTTTTTTTTCCATTTTATTTTAAAAAATTGAGCAAACTGTCTACTTTGAGCATGTTGTACATCCCTCTTTGGCCAGTAGGGAATCACTTGGTCTTGGCTCCTTGATTGTTTGTTTTTTCCAATCTTCTTATTGTTTGCAACACCTTCCATCCCTGAATAGAGTAAAAAAAGCCCCTAAATACTGTGGGCAACCTAAAAATGCAAATATAAATTTAAAAAATTCAGACCTTTGTGTGTTTAAAGAAGCCCTGACCCGCTTTCAACAAAGATATTTCTTGAGAAAAATTCTTCTCATTCTTAAAATTCTTTAAAAAAAAAATAATGTGTGCATTGTGCACGCCTACGCTGAATATTCGACGATTGATTATTGGAAACATTGAAGTAAGGGTCCCATTTTTCTACTTGCACACAAGTACTTTCCCTGCTAGAAGCCACAACAATTACGAAGCAATAAACACATTTTTTCCACAGACTTCTTTTTTTTTTCCCCTTTAAACTTTAATTCTGAGCTAAAAGAATTAACGAATTTGAGGAAAGGGTAAACATCTGGGTAAACACAAGCTGCAGCCTGGCGCTGCTTTAAATACCCAGATCTTTGTTGTTTTGACTTCGTCGTTAACTCCTGCTGTCGTATCGCAGGTATTACTTTGTCGTGTTTTTTAATCGATTGCGCAGACGAATCACAGCGAAGGGAATGAAATGTTTTAAAAAAGCAGTCGCAGTGCAGCAGAGGCCCAATGTGTGATTGGCAACCTTATAATGAGTAGTTTTGCATTTCAAATTTGCCACACTCTAGTCAAAGGTCATATTAAGACACCCTAAAACTGGAGCTTGTCTAAAACCAACAGCGGAACGTTAAACAGGAAAAAGCTAAATGCTAATATTAGCTAACCCCGACGGCGTACGGAGTTACAAACTTCGACATTTACGTGTGTCAGTGGGAGCTGCTCCAAATTTCAGTTTCTTTAGATGGATGTGTTTTATTTATTTGTTTTTATATGGGGAAATGAAGTTATATTTTACTTAACAGCAATTCACAGTTTCCTACAAAATCCACATAGGATGTAAATGAATTGGTTTTCTTTCTTTCTTTTTTTTTTTTTTTTAGTTATTTAATGTGGGATAATTTAGGCTGAAAAGAGCAACTTGCAAAAGCTTGTCTGCATTTGGTAACTAAGTTATTTTCCTTCACAAATTCCTAACTACAAAGTTTTCTTTGGACTCTAATTACAACGTACCCATGAAAAATCATCTTGAAAGAAGTGGTTCATTCTCATGCGGACGTAAAAGGAGCCCAGCGGTGATCTATATCACAGTGAATATGACAGGAATCATGATTCTAAAGAATACATCCCTGCTGTGCTGTAAATCTCGCAGCTCGACTAGGTTTCGTCAGCTTGCTGGAGTCCGTGGCGTACCGAAATTTACGACCTCTAATTTACCTACCATGAGCATCCCCGAACTGTGGGAGAATACCTTCGCTGGACGGTTTCAAGCTGTCCAAGTCGTGATTCATCCCCGGGCGATGGCCGGCGGCTTGATGATGGCCGGCGGCTTGATGATGGCCGGCGGTTTGATGAAGCCCGAGAAGATGGAAACCTCTTGCCGCGTCTTTCCCCCCGCCGCCCATGTTCGCGCTGTGCGGGATTCGTGTTTCTCCTCGTCTGCCAGTGTACATCTGCTGTTTTCTTTCCTCCCGGCGTGGGCAGGAAGATCAAAGGAGCTTTGTTTGAGTTTGGAGTCCCGCAGCAGATCCCAAAGCACGTCGTTGAGTAATATTAGACAAAGCACAAAAATATGTTTGCTCTAAGCTTGTTTGGAGATTAGAGGATGTTCGGTGTGTTTGTGGACTGTGTTTTTGTCACAATGCAGTAATAATAAACAACAAGGACAAAAAAACTTTAGTATTTAAAAAAAAAAGACCTGGAAAATTTGGACAGAGTTGTGAGAATGATACCGCAGAGTCCTGGTTTCCACAGGAGTAAAGTTGTGAAGTTCAATTAAGGACAAGTATCCTCCAGGATGTTGCAATGTTGCGATCGCAAATATTAACGCAAATTTTCACCAGTCACGGCAACTGTTCCCGCACATCTGACCAATCACCTGAATGTTTGCTCTATTTTCTTCTTTTCTGACCAATCACTGCAACTCGGCTGAATTTTAGACCCCTTTTATTTTAGCTTGTGCATAACATCTGTCATGAACATGAATGAGTCTTTATGAATGTTTACGGCTGTTGTCACAAAGTGTCATTTGGTACTTTTAATGCACAGTGGATTCTATTAATGGACAGTGAATTTAAGATTTAATCCAATTGTGCATAAAGATGTAATTATTTACCAAACAATGCTAAGTGGACACTTGCAGTGCATATTTTAATGCAAATAAAATTAAAGGTGTCTATTTACCGAAGGACAGTTCATGACAACATTTATATGCTGGAGACTATTTCTCATGAAATAGTTTTATTTGTTGGTGCTGCTTCATAAAGGTGCTTGAGAATGTTACTTGCACTTTTCATATTAATTATGTTAAACTAATTTCTTTTGAGGGGGAAGGTAATGTGCAGCAATTTCAACTTTTTTCATAATGGCAAAAATAAAGCTTTAAAAAAATGTGCAACTTTTTTTTTTTTTTTTTTAAAGACTGCCACAACACCAGTAACTTCAGGATGCCGTAATAATAAAAACAAGAAACATCGCAATTACGCCGCGAAGAAGCCAAACGACTCGTACTTACTTCACAGCTCAGCATCGGCTCAGGGAGGATGAATACAAATGCATTCCCCCCTTTTCATATTTTGTTTTACTTGCAAACAAGCAGCTTTTGAAAACCGTGTGATCTTGTCCTCCATCTGTTGAAGTTTGCGACTTTGTGACAAAAACGAAATACTGCTGCGTCTGGTTCACTTAATACCTTTGAAACATGCGATACATGTTTCATCTTCACGCTTTGTTAGAGCCTCCTCTTGTTGCTATTCAGCCATAACGTGTCTGCTGATGCAGCTGAAGTTGTGATTAGTCATTGTTATCAGCCAACAGTGCTAAAATGCTGGTTTTTAGAGCTGGGTGTTGCGTGTGTTGTTTAACCTCTGATTGTAGGGAGGATTCCTGGAAGAGGGTCACGTGACTGAGGAAACACAGAGGGGTGGACTCCTTTCTTAACCACTTAATAATTTGTGAACCCAACCACCACCTCCATCTCTCAGGGCTTAATGGGACTCTCTGGTCTGCGGCAGCTATTTCTGACTTTGAGGTGAAGACTGGACCTTAATGTTCAACATCTAAAAATACCATGCTTTTTTCCCCCCGTTTATTACCGTTTTGTTTTGTTCTGAAATCTGATGTGCCACAGTAGGGGTTTAACGGGCCTGTGGAAGAACAAATGTGAATCATGTGGTCCTATGAAACAGACAAAAATCAAAATAATAACTTTTTGCCAAGTTTGTAACAGATGTGCTATGATAGAAATGCTGTGAGAGAACTTTGACGTTCAGATCTGGTTGATCCTTTTATTAGGATTTGAAGAACAACCCACTCATGTGTATTTTGTCTATTTTTTTCTTTTAGACTTAGACTTAGACTTGTACTTCATTGATCCCTTGGGAAGACTCCCTCAGGAAATTGAAGTTACCAGCAGCTTACAGGCAGAAAAGTGGCACACAGTGCGCAAAATACAAAAGAATACAAAAAATATCAATTAAATACAAAGGTACACACTGAACAAAGCGTAAAGTTCAGTGTCACCACAATTCATAGCTCTGCTATAATTTGAAAGTTTTTATTTAAGCTCTATCAAATTAAAAAATGTATTTTTTATAAAATATTTATTTGAAATCTTTCTATCAAATCTTGAGTTCTGGTAGAAAATTTTCAGACTGGAACTCTGGAAAATTTTAGCGTGGAACATTCTGGAAAGTCAATAGCTAGCTACTTAATCTGTCTAGCTGCTAACTGTCTAGTAGCTAGCAGCAGCTACTAGCCGTGGCTAGCTACTAGCGGACAGGAGGCAACTGATGCGATTCAACAGCTAGCTGTGTAGCTATCTGCATCAGTTGGCTCATTAAAGATGCTGTCCATGCAACTCAGTTAAATAAAATATTACATTTAGATAAATGTTTCTATCAAATCTCAAGTTCTAGTTAGAAATTTTCAGACTGGAACTCTGGATAATTTTAGCCTGGGACATTCTGGAGCGTGGGAACCTTGAGGAAAGCTAATAGCTAGCTAGTCAAAGTGAAGCCCCCCTGCTAGTTGCATTAGTTGCCTAATTAAAGATGTTTTCCTTGATTATCCAAAATGAATATTGGATGCTGGTGAAGCTAAGCGAGGTGAAAATTTAGCGAACACATCCGGGGTGTACCTCCACCTCGGCATTCCACACGCTGGCTGCTGGGACAGGAAGTAGATGGTGATGGTTTGTTCCCTACTTAACGGTATGAATCCCATAGTTTTAACCCTTAACATGCAATCATTGTGACATCCTTTGTGACAGCTTTATGAACTGGAGTGCAGTGTTTTTAATATGTGGTGGCGAGTCTCTTCCTGTGACCTCAGCTCTGCGTTGCGGATTGTAATTTGAACAACACTCCCACACCAATATATCTCGCCAAGCTATTTTGACACGAGGCTGTTTTCGAGTGGCTTGTGGAAAACAAGGGATTAGGGAGAACATTTGTTTGGGCCTTTTTGGACAGCAGGGTTTGAAGGTTGGGAATCTAGTAGCTTAGGAACAGAGTTTTTCTTGGCTTTACGGATGAAGAAAGTTATAGTGCCAAAAGTGTTCATGTCTGAACTTTTTCCCACATTCTTTCAGTGAAAAAGCACACACTTCAATGTATTGGGATTTTATAATACATTGTTAAATCCCAATACAAGGAAGTGCATTATTCTTGTTCTTGTTTGGACCTTCTGGTCCATTCTTGTTTACAAAATAGCACCAACATCAGTCAAAGAGCTTCTGAAGAACAATTTTCTACATATCCTTGATAGGATACAGGTCTGGACTTTGACTGGGCCATTTTAACGCTTGCTCAAACTCATTCAATTATACCCGTGGCTCTAGTGTTTCTACACTCTACTTTCCATTAAGTTGGACTAGCTTCACTGTGCCTAATGAAGAAAAGTGTCCCCCAAGCCCACAGCATGATTCTGCCTCTACACATCCATTCAATATTCAATAAATTAGACGATTATTGAGCATTGAATTTATTTCAACACCATATATACGTATATAGATTAATTAGACAAAACTGATGTTTTAACGCCTTTATTTCTTTTTATTTTTCACTAAAGGGTAATGAAAAGGAAACATTAGCAATTTTAATATTACACCAGCCCAATAAAATCAACTATTTTTAATCAAAAGTATGTTTAATACCTGCTTAAAGTTGTTGTTTTCAAATTGTACTTGCATCCAAAACTTTTCAGATCTTGTAAAAAAATATATATATATTTTTCTGTTGCGTTCTGTATTGATAATTTCCAAAGATTTGTGAGGAAAGCTTGAACTCCTGACCTCTCGAATCGGCCGAAACTACATAAGCAAGTGAATATGGTAATTAGCCGCAGTTCGGAGGAGCAAGATGTTGAAAGTCCGGCTGCTGACGTCACCTGTTTTTGAGACGGGATGGTTTTATGGAGCCAAATCCCATGGTGCTTGGGATTCTCCTCGCAGTTTACTAGTGACCATTACTATATAAATCACTGAGACAAGAGGAGCCCATGAAGAGCAACACCAGATCGACCAGATCGACAACAAGCCTCCCTTTCTTAGCTTTCCTGGTTTTGGGATTCCTCTCCTATTGAGGCTGCTTCTCACTTCGAGTTCCTTCCCCTTTTTCCTCTCGGTCTCTTGCCATTCTTTTGAGTTTTTTTTTTGGGTTTAATTCATGAAAAGGGTTCTATTCCCCCCGCCGACATACTTTCCTCCTTTCAAGTTGGCTTTGAAAAAATTCCTTTTCCTGTTGCTCTCGCAGCGCGAGCAGAAGGGATGTCGACTAAATGTGTCACAGAGGGGTCCGCGATTGTTGGGAGAGGCACAAAGGAGGTGGTGTGGGAAGAGAAGTCTTGGACTTGACCCAAGACTTGTAACATCCCCAAATTTTCCTACAAAGCTCTTGAGCTTTTCCCCCTCTAGCTGTTTCTCTTATTCAAAATATTCCTCGCTCTACTCGCTCCTCCTCTCGCAGAGCGTCTGCCGTGGGTCTAGAAGAGCGTATCGTCTTCCCGAGCTCATCCGTGGAATGATTTTAACACGTGGACATGTGGGGGAAAAAGCGTTGGAGGCCCAAATTCCTTAAATTAGCCAGAGCTCGAGCACCAGGAAACAAATCAAGTCCATTAATGCTCACATAATTTATGTTCCCACCTGCTTGTGCAAAAGAAGTGTTTATTCCTCTTGAATTTTGCTTCAAGATCTAATGTATTTTATTGGAACGGTTCGTGACTGTCCAACACAAAAGTCGGCCTGCATTGTTGTGAAGTGGAAGGAAATGATAAATGGTCTTCAGATACTTTGAGTAACAAAAATCTCAGTAGGTCGGAGTGCATTTCTGTTGAGTCCTCCTGTGTCGATACTTTCCAGAACCGTCTCACTGCAGTCACAGGCGCAAGTGGTAGGTTCTACCGGTTTTTCACATCTGGAGACAATCCTTTTGACGTGTTCGTCTTTTTTTTTTGGTTTGTTTGCAAAGTAGATGAAGCTCCAGTTCACTTCCATTGTGTCCGGTGACTTTTAAATAGTCTTAAGGTCTTAAAATGCCTTAAATCCATTGAAAAACAATAAGTTGGCATTAATTACGTTAATCACAGGTCTTAAATTTTGCTGTGGCAGGACTGTTTAATTGCATATATTCTATATTCTAGTTTTCATTTTTCTTGCAGAACTTTACTGTTGCTCAAAACTTTGACCACGCATTCACTGCGGCTAGTTAGCAGCTAATATACTCCTGCTAAATAGCTCGCCTTTTTACATCCATTATGTGCGAGTGCAAAGGTTTCAGTTTGCTCACGTCTGTTGCCAACCGATACAATTTGCCTTGTTGCAATTTTCCTTTGTGCATTTTTGTCGTAACGCAGGTCTTATATTTAATTCATAATGGTCTTAAAAAGGTCTTAAATTTGAGTTGGTGAAATCGGCAGAAACCCCAGCTCAGACAGAAAGAAGAAAAAGTCTTTGTTGTTCGAGCTTTGCTACAATTTTACGGTTTAAATTCAGACAGAACTTTTACTGATGTTTTACTGATGTATGTTCAGGTGCGCTCAATAGTCCGGATATTACGGTAACAGACTTTACGTGCACTCTTACTAGTGTGTCTTGTAAAATAAACATGCCTCCAACATGTTACTATTGGAGCGAAAAGCGGCCATATTGAACCCTAAAGTCGGCCTTAAGTATCCTAACTGTTAGGGTTAGGATCCAGTTAGGGGTCCAACTTTGGGTGGAAAAAAGTAGTTTTTTTCCCAATTGGGCAGTGGGAATTCCTGAGTTTAGACTACAGATTGAATGCAGCATTAGCTCCATTTAGCTTCCAGTTCGCTAATGTTCTTCAGGAAACCTCTGAGGCCTTCACAGCTGGGTTCACTCTTCTTTTTATGTTTTAAAGTTATGGGCCTGTTTGTGTCTTTCTGACACCTAAAATCCTAATAAAAATACATTAAAGTTTGTGGTTGCAATGTGACAAAGTGGAGAAGGAAAAACAAAATTGAAGGCTTATGAAAGGCGCTGTTGCACATACCACTCCATTGTGCAACAGCGCCTGTTTAGTTCGCAGGCCTCTCCCTGTTGAGCAGCCCAGCCGAATGCATGCGAGAGCCATTAAGATGCCCGCATGTCACTTGCGCAACGAAGAGTGAAGGACTGAATGTCGTAGCTTTTATCGTGTGGTTCAGAAACGCTGAGATCGGAAATGTTTTGACTCTCGAGTCATGTCGCTGCGGTGGACGGGCTTCGCGTGGGTTGCGGCGTTGTCCGTACGCGAAGAAGGCAGGGGAGAACTTTCTTCTTTTTCTTCTGCTTTTTTTTTTTTTTTTCTCTCCTGCAGCGCTGGGAGGCTGAGATCACTTGCAAATCTGCTTAATCAGGAGCACATTGTTGGGGTCAGCAGCGGCATGAACCTGGGAATGCTCCCAAGGCCAGGTTTCCCTTGCTCCTCTTGGAAATCACAGACATGTGTGCTCCGTTTCTGGGAGATCTGTTTTTTTTCCGTCGGCTGAGAAAGCTCACGGCGGGAGGTTCCAGAAAGTCCTGGACATCGTCAATACAATGATAAATAATTGACTGTTGCTTCACGAAAGCAGAGGAAGTGCTGCCAACTGGTGTCTGTGGCTGTAATTTTTCACCGTATCTGTGGAGCTCCACTCGTGGTGAATTACTCATTGTGCTTGGCAGGCGTGGAAGACTGGTGCTGAGTCGACCACATCACCGCCATCTGTCAGATTTCTACATTTAAATGCTCCGCGTTTGAGGAAAATCCTGCCTGTTACAAATTCTCTCGTCAAAGATTGCCTTCCAATTAAAAGTAATTGCTTATTGATGTTTTGTGTGTGTCCTTGCTGAGGATGTCCTGATCAGATAATCCAAGTCCTTTGATTTTGAGTGTTGGCAAGTAACGAGTCCTGACCCGTTAATTCAAAAGTACATTGAAAACAATGGAGAGCGAAGAAACAAACCCAAGACGTCCCTGTTTGTGAAATTTCATCCACCTCATTTGTCATCTAACAGAACACTAACGTTGTGTGAATCAAAGGCTGTTTTTTTTTGTACCCCTCTCCTGACTGACACGTTTTCAAATACTACAGTTTGCCAAAGGATGCAAAGATGAGGAAAATCAGCTGAATTTTAATTTTGGTTACGCCTGTCACAATAAGAAATAAATGAATTAATCACTGATAAATTAAAATTAGTTGAATAATTTGCATGATTTGTACATTAAACGTTTTCAGTCTGGTCTCAACTAACACTTTTTGTCTACAGAGACCTCATAATTTGTTTTATTTGTTGTTTTATGTTTATTAATGTTGAATATTTAAAATGTCTAAAATGGTTCCTGTGTTAAGTGTTCATGTTGATCTTTGAGAATGTGTTCTGGTGCTATTATGCCATGACCATCACATTACCTGAAAGGGGTCTCAAAACAACGACATCGTTTTGTCGTAATAACTTCTGGGACAATTTATTGTCCGGCAACATTTGTTCTGATGACGGGTTTGGTAAATGAAGACAGGATGATGGATGTGAAGTCCAGAAGATGTTTCCCAGCATCTTTCTGTGCTCTAGCTAGAAGAGAAGACCGTCCCACTGCACCGTTCTGCTATGTTCCTGTTGTATTTCGGAAAAAGAGAATCTCTCAGCAAAACCTCGGGAAACATCATCAGCTTTGTGGAAAAATGACATGAATGCTTTTAAAGATTTGTTTGTTTTAAGTCACTCTTAAGCCCCCGCCTCCTTTTTCTCAGTCTGTTTATTTTGACGTCTTCATTCGATACCAACTGCGACGTTCGGGCGTGCTCTAGGCTTCGGTGCCGTTCTTCCGTCCCGTCTGGTTTACACAGACACCCACAGGAGGGGCTTTGTGTCCGCTGATGGTCTGATATCCTCTGGATCAGCGTTTTCAAATGTTTTTTTGGGGGGTTGACGAAGTGAAGTATCAGCTCCATTGTCTTCTCCCCTGCAGGTCCTGGCAGCCAGAGTCGGTTAACTCTGGCCCGGGGGGTCGCTGAAGACCGCTGGGCCAAGACCGGCTTCAATGCGTCCATTCACGCCGCCATCCGATCCTCAAACTGGAAGCTGCTGACTGGATACCCAGGTCGGTGTTCTTTGTGCCCAGTAATGACACGTTTAGTCGAAGTGAAGGCAGAAAGTCGGACACAAGTAGAGCGTCTGTGCTGTCATTTACTTTTCATGTTCACTCATTTCTGGTAGAAAACTTTTGTGGGTTAAAGTGTTGGCACAGCATTGCTCATTTTCATTGCTGACATGTCTTAAGCTAGTGTCCCACTTCATAGTCAGGTTTACCTGTACAGCAAGTTTCAGGGACAAGGTAGTTCAACGTGCACCCCAGTAATATCATACAAAACAAGCAAATATGACATTTGGTCAAATACCATCATCAAAACCATCAATACACAACAAATATGCTGATCGATGTTCCGCTCACTGTCGATCAAAGTCAACTTTTCAGGTGGAACTCAGTGTTTCAGCAGTTTCCCAGTTTTCAGGATGTTTGTCCCAGATTTGTGCCGTGCAGAATTCTGGAAAACTATGAAATTTCGGTTTAGTATTTTCATTGAAAAAATATTTATTTAGCCAAATCTCTCTTTCTCATCTTTCTGACAGTTGACAAATAAAAATGCTTTTGGGGTAATTCTAACCGATCCGTTTTATATCATTATAAATATAAATTTTTGAGGGAGTTTGTTCTCTTTTTTTCTTTTACATTGTGTCTTTTGTAATCTGGTTCCATATGTTTCCGTCACATTCTGTGAGAACATCTTGTTGTAACCTTGTCAGACCTGCTGATAAGGAATCTGTTTTAGACGCTAGCTTGCTTCTAAGATGCTATGATTAACCCAAATATATAAATACTGAAGCTTATTGAGAGTTATTGCATGTAACTTTAGCGTAATTCATTTTAACCTACACTGCAAAAACACAACGGGTTACCAAGTATTGTTGGTCTAGTTTCTAGTGCAAATTAGTTAGTACACTTGAAATGAGGTACAATTGACGAACGGATAACGTTTCAATGACACAAAGGAGCTTGTTGTAAGTGAATAATTTCCTAATATTTCAGAAAAATTACTTGTTTAATTGGCAGATTATTTCACTTATAACAAAGCATGTTTCCCATGTTATGAATAACAATATTAAGTAATCAATATTAAGGAATTATAGACTTAAACCTGTTTCTTGCTGAAAAATTACTTGCATGTTAGTTTTATCTTATTTGAACTGTACTAAGAAGTTAACAGTAGAAACTAGACCAAAAATACTCTGTAAGATTGAGGGGTTTTTTTGTTGTTGTTTTTTTTTTTTGCAGGTTATGACACGTTCATGTCTTTTACCTCGTTTTCTCTTCAGGCTGCGAGGTTTGGTTCCCCCGACCCGGCCACAACGGCTCAGACTCCGGGGTCTCCAAGCTCGGCCCTCTGAAGCCCATCATGCTGTTTGACGTGGAAAAAGACCCCGAGGAGAGGAACGAGGTGTCGGCCCAGTTCCCCGGCGTGGTGGATTACCTCCTCACCAGACTCCAGGAGCACCAGAAAACTGCGCTGCCCATAAACTACCCCGACGACGACCCCAAATGTGACCCGGGCCCCACTGGAGCCTGGGGGCCGTGGGCTTAGATGGAGACAGCATGGAGGCATTATGATGGATCCTATTTGCACTTTGTTCACTGTGACCAAGAAATGTTTTTATAAACTTTTTTTTTTTTTACATTTCCGGTGTCCGTACAACATGACAAGTCCTCAAGTTCCTCTCTTGCTGAAAGAATCTCATCATTCAGAGGAACGTCAGCTGTTAATTATCTGATGGATGAAAGTCAACAGAAGTTATTTATTCTTGACGTGCTGATTTTAAAGTAGCTCCTTAAAGCTAATCTAATATAAAATATGCAGTAAAAATAAATTATTTTTGATCATTGTTTGAAATGATCTTAGTTTTGAATCTTCTATGTTATTTGCCAGGCATAAAATGTATTATATAAATAAATATATTTGTATGTTGGAGGTTGCTTTGTGCCTTTGTACTGTTGCTGTTGCTGTTGGATGTCCCAACTTGATTTTGCAGAACTCAGATGTGAAATAAATCAAATGAAAATGAATAAATAAAACAACCATGGCAGGCCAGATTAATATATTGTTTATATTGTGTAATTGAATAAAGTCTTGTTGTTTTTTTACAGTTTCTCAGCTTGTGTACATTTTTTTTTTCCTTTCCGAAAAAGATTTTCTACATTCCAGGACAAGGTTATTAAAATTTGCTACCTCGCAGCAATGTTCCAAAAATTAATATGAACATGTTTCATCTGATCCTATGCACATTCTCACTCTATGCCGATGAAGGTTATTTCATTTCAGTGTGTGATCTATTTTTCAATGAGTTTTCAGCAAATATTTTTTTGACCATTTTATGGTGTGTCACAAAAAAAAGCATGGTATTCTCCATGGCAGCAGTGGCTAATGTAGCAGCATCAGAAAAATCATAGAAATAAAAATATCTAATCAATGAAAGCTCATCAAATGAGATTTTAAAAAAAAATCTGATCCATTTAATGTTAAAAAATAAAAACAGAAGCCTTATGTAGATTCCATGGTGTTCTTCAGTTTTTCAACTCTTCCTGATTATTGACTTGACGTTTTGAACCATGCAACTCTACAGAAAACGGCCTATTCCAAACCCTATCAGTCTCTGTAGGCCAGAATGAGCTTTAAACCTAATGTGGCTTTTGAGATTTGAGATCACAATTTGCTGAATTATTTATTTAGTAACAGACAGACCATATGGTCACACACATATATTTGTTTAATTTTTAAACAGTTCTCGTTTCATTTTCTCTTTGTCGCTTTAATGCTTTTCGGGAGTAAAATGTTTTTGGGGTTTTTTTTCTTTAAAACTACAGACTCTCGCTCGGCTTGCTTGTTTCCTCAGCAATGAATGATATTATTTTACGTTTCTGAGAAAGTGGCTGAGGTTATAAATTTGCCTCCCACCTCCTCTGTTAGTTTACTCTACAATCAAAACTGAATTTCAGGACGGGGGAAAATATGTCATTTAATTAGCCGTTGCCGTCCATGTAAAAACCAGAGCCTGACACTTTCTCAGCTCGTCTACAGACCGCTTTTTTTTTTTTTTTTTTGCGCTTCTCATACTCCCATCCACTCCTTGCCGAGTTACGCCGTTCCTACCCGTATCATTATGACGGAGTGTCGCAGCCCAACTCTTTACTCTTCTGAGCTGCTTTCACACTTGGTGCGGCCCGGCGACTCTCAGGCTGAGTCAGCGCTGTGTTTCGGTGCCTCTAAAGCTGGCTCAAAAGGTCAGGAGGTCATTGGGAAACACACCTAATGCAGACATAAGGGTAAATTTCATGTGATCGATTAACCCGTTTTTGCTGCCAGTGTGTAACTTTTACAAACATTTTTTCTTCCAAGTCTATTAAAACTATTACCATGTTGTAATAATATGGTAGGAGACGGTTTGTCTGGGGGAGGGAGGGAACCAATCTCCTCTACCTTCTACAAGTGGTACAAGTACAGTCTGCAAAAATGTACCACTCCTGGTCAAAACAACCAATCAGAGCCAGGAGGAGGGTCTCAGCGCTGTCAATCACTCTCTTGTATGCTGCACAGTTTGGTTAAGGTGGAAAAACAACTTGCAGGAAAACAGTTCATCCTCCATCAACGTTCGCTATGCTAACTGTTTGGCTTTAGCTTAGCAAAGAACGAGCAAGAGGAGGGGTGAACACAAGAGTGATTGACAGCGCTAAGACCCTCCAGCATACTTGCGTCACGGCCAGACGTCATGTTCTTATTCTGCCAAGAAACATCCAAAAGTGCTCTTATGCTAGCTTCAGCTGTTTATTTCAAGACTTATTCTGTCTCTTTTTGTGCAAGTTCTGATCAGCGAGCGCACCCTGCTGGTAGCTTCTGTAATAGCAGCTATTTTTACAGGAATTGAGTAAAATGCAGTAAAAACAAGCAATTGTTTCTCAATAGTTAACAGTCCAGACCCTCTGTATAGGCTAGGTTGGTGAGAGAAACATATTATGACATATGGTTTTTAATCAGAAATGTTTTTTTTAAAAACATAGTTTTTCTAAACTATCGCTCTCGTTTCAAAAGAAGGGACTTTCTTTTGACGAAGCTTTTGAGGTTTTTGTCTTTCTTTATCGACATAAAATAAAATAAAATAAAATGAGTTGCACTGTCCTAGTCAAAGTCCAGAACTTAGCCTGTTTCACATGTGCTGTTGGGAGTTTTGGAGATATGAAAATTAGTAGGGTCAGTATCAAGAAACTAAAGTAGGACAGAGACGATTAATCACGATTAAACGGGATTAATCAATCTATTATTGAAATAAGTAATTATTTCAATAATCAACAGGAGTATATAGACTTAATAAAAAGGCAATTTGCTAAAGAAAAAATTTGGTCAAAACTAACCAAATTTAGCAGCACACACACAGCACGATTGACTGTGCTAAGGCCCGCCTCCGGACCCTGATTGGTTGTTTCTACTTAGCAATGGGAGAAGGCAGACAAGCTAAAAAAGTGTTTTTCCACACATTGTCTCGTACTATATTGTTACAACATGGTGACAGTTTCAACAAGTATGTAAAACAAATTATTATTTTTTTCTAAAACAAAAGTTACATACTGGAGCTTTAGGGAAAATCTAGAGCTATTTTCCTCGGCATTCTGGGTAAGTCACCGCAGCCCAGAGAGTCAAAGTCCACTCAGATCGGTGTGAGCCGAAGGAACTTTCACTGCAGAGCGCTGTTATTTGGCTCCGACTGTCAAGCCGAAGGTCAGCCGGAGCAACAATGATCCCGGGAACCTCTGATAACATCAAGGCTGTTGTCCCTGACAATGCCGACACTTGTTTATGCAGAAACTCCCCGATCGAGTCATGAGACTTCCCTTGTGTTTACACAGCATTCAAACCCCACTGACCGACAAGCAGGAATAAGAGGGCACTGGGAGGCCTGGCACCAGTTGCTCCCCTCCTAGTCTCAACACTCTCAAAATAGTCCGCTCACTGCAAGCGGAAGTACAAAAGCCGGCGCCGACCTCCAATTTTTTCGACACATAATTCTGCTGAATTCGGCCAAAGGAGAGGATGGAGGACAGTGGAGCCGATTAACACTCAAGGAAACGGAGCAAAGCTTGGCAGACGTGTTGGACGTCAATTTGAGGAACCTTCAGCGTGTGAACAATGTGCACCAACGCAGCTGGCTTCTTCCTCAGCTGTCAGCTTCCCAATAGGGAAGCAGGAAGGCTTTCTTGTTTCTAAATCTGTAACTAAATCTGGTGATGAGTCGCCTTTTTTGCACAAATGCGTAAAAAAAAAAAAAACACAAAGAAAAAACCCAGCAAAGTGAGTTGAGATCACTTCAGAAAAATAAGTGATGTCAACTATATGGACTCGGTTATGAAATTACACTTAAAGGTAAACTCTGAGTTGACATGTTTAAATCCAAAGTGCACGTAGGAGTCTCACAGTTTGTTTGCCCCTCGCTAACTCTACAAACTTACACTAAAGACAGTCATTGTGGGCTCAAATGAAGCCCTTTAACAAACTATAACAAGCTGTCATCTGAGCATTCTGGTGCAAACTCTGCTGATGTTCTCCAATTCATTAAATCTTTCATGAAAGAGAAACTAATGTCTTAATGAAAAATGCTTAAAAGTGGCTACAGCAGCCTTTACATTGGTCATCTTTTACCACGGCGGGGCATCTAATGCTAAAATGTAACCAAAAAAGATAAATGTAACAGCTTCCCTTTTATGCCCGTCCCGTCATACACACAGAGGAGGCCAGTTGGTTGAATTTTCTGTAATAACTGTAATAAATGGTCAACACAAATTAGTACAGTGAGCTCCACTACTGGTCCATCAGCTCTCCGCATACTGCAATGAAACTCCACGTCAGTCTTTGAGCACACCTACTATGACTATTCAGAAAAGAACTGGATTTGGTGACTTACCACAGTAGAGCGCTCAACAGACTGCGTCACAAACAATCATTACAATCTGGCTTAACAACATATTTTTCTAACAAATGATCGTATAGTGATATTTGATTATTAATACTTCTTTAAAATTAATTTAACACAATCTGGTCTATTTCCTATAAATAAAGAAAAAAAATAGACAGACAACAATCAAATTTAACTAATAAACTAATTAACAGTAACTTCTAACTGAAACAGGGAACAAACAAACTGACAAGCTGGTAAATACAGCAAACCGACAATACAACAGACAAACCGACAACTCAACTGAAGAAAAACTGACAAACATAACTGACAAAATACTTTACTAATAAATAATATAATATAATTACCTGTAATAAATGGTCAACACAAATTAGTACAGTGAGCTCCATTACTGGTCCATCAGCTCTCCGCATACTGCAATGAAACTCCACGTCAGTCTTTGAGCACACCTACTATGACTATTCAGAAAAGAACTGGATTTGGTGACTTACCACAGTAGAGTGCTCAACAGACTGCGTGGAATTTACGGTTTAGCTTTGTATTTATAGGCAACCAGTAGGGGGCGCCAAAAACCATTCATCACATGGTAATTACAAAACATATTTTAGCAAGAATTTCATCTTAATACCCGTTACATAAAGAAATAAAAAAGTGCAAAAATGAATGTATTGGGCTGTTTCTTGTGTTTAGTTTTTTAATTATCAGTTTTACTTGCTCGATAATAAGGAAAGCTTTTATAAAATCTGTGTATTGTTAGAGAACCAAAACAGCAAAAAAAAAAAAAAAAAAAAAAAAAAAAATATATATATAAATATATATATATATATATATATATATATATATATATATATATATATATATATATATATATATATATATATATATATATAGTTTCTTATTTTGTTGACTTTTTTTGTTTAAAAAAAACAAAAACAATCCCGACTTGTGGTCAGGGGCCAAACAAAATCATTTCCAGGGCCACAAACGGCCCGCGGGCCAAACCTTACCTTGGACCCTCAATACAAAGTAACGACCCTCCCTAATAAAACCACTAAAGCGGAACACTGTAAAAATTCAACTCTGCCTTTTAGCAGCTCTTCGTTCTTCTTTTGTTCACCCATCTTCAGAAGCGACTGAACTAAACCCTGTTCAACACAAACACTTTCTTCTGCTCCAATCAGAGC